GGTAGAGAGGGAGGGGGTGGAATGGGTGGTAAGGGAGGGGGTGGGGGCAGGGGGGAGAAATGACCCAAGCATTGTATGCAATATGAATAATAAAAAAATTAAAAAGAAAAAAAACAGATACTGTTAGAAACAGCATGTTTTACAGTGTCAAGGAGCTGCTTCTGGCTTTAGGAGTGATAGCCCTGCTGTGGATGTTTTTAGAATCCTTTTCTGCTGAAGCACTTATGAACAGGATGGGGAGTGGGATGAGTCTGGGGAACAGGTGGACCAGACTGACCACACTGTTGAAGCTAAGGCTTATTCTGTCATTTCTCTTCTGTATTTGAGAATGTTTGAAATTTTCTATAATAAAAAGTTAAACAGGGGGAAATGCCAAGGCTGATGAAGGGGAAGAAAGGGGAGGACCGTGGGCAAGAGACAGCAGCACAAGGCAGAGATTCCTTGGCCAGAGAACCATCTGCTGGAAGAAGATAGCCTTAGGGAGGGCTGGCCATGGCTGTGCAGAACTCCCACCCAGCTCCTGGCTGGCTGTCCCTCCTCCTGCCACCCAGCCCTGCCTGCAGCCAACATGGGGCTGCAGTAGCCGGCATGGGGCCTGAGAAGAGCCATCACCAGGGAGCAAGGTCTGTGACGAGCCCCTGGCACTCCCTGTACACAGGCAGCTCAGCTCAGCAGCCCGAATATTAGCAGGGGTCCTGGGCATCATTGGTCAGGAAGCACAGGGGTGGGTCCGCTATTTGCAGGGTGGGGTCAGAAGAGGTTTGCAGGGTGGGGTGGGAGGGAGGGAGACAGAGCAAGCCATGCCTGTGGGGGTTCAGATTTCCACTCCCCTCACTCCTCCTGCCTTGTGGAGCACTTCGAGGATATAAATAGGGGGTATGAAGATAATTCAAAGAAGCTGCCTAATTCCACAGAAAAAATACCCAGATGGTTTTGTTTGAGCCAACAAACTCCTACATATCCTTCAAGATCCAATGCAACTTTCTCCAACCTTCCAAGGCCTCCACCCCTGCCCCCAGAACTGTTGTTGCTTATTTCTGGGGGATGTGGCAGAGCTGTGTCCTCACTTGGATGAGTAAGGGTCCGTCTGAGCACGTGGTGGTCTTGTGTATTAGTCCATGAGTAAGACTGAGTGTACAGAGTCCAGGAAACCATGTGTCAGATGTGCCACATGGTCTTTGAATGGAGCAGAAGCTGGCAGGGATGAAATGATCCAAAGAAGAGGCCGGTAGCACAGTGCTGGTTCCCTAGCATGGGGGTGGTGTCCAGGGAAGAAGGAAGGAGCCAGGTGGCTTCATTTGTGCAGAAACGTACCCAGTCAGTGAGCAGTCCTCTGAGGTCATGCAGCATGCAGATGCCTGCCAAGCCAAGCAAGGGCAGGGTGCTAGCTGCATAGCTGTGCCTCCTTGGAGTGGGGTGCACAGTTCTGGGTGGACAGGATTTCTGGGGGCCCCTGTGAGGACCATCTCTGAAGACTGCTGTCCTTCTGAGATGGATGGAAAGGCAGGAGGAAGCACCAACCATTTATGGATTCTGGTGTCTGAGGCTAATAAATGTGGACAAGCTTTTAGACAATTACATTGAGCAGTAAGGAATATATTTTGTTTGCCAAACTTGATGCACTTCTACTGAGCCCCTCCCCTCCTGTGTGGGGTTCCACTGGGTCTGTGACAGAGCTGGAAGAAGCTCTTTGTCCAACAGAACATCACAGGGCAATGGGAAGGAACCCACCACATGGGGACCCCTGAACACAAAGCAGGTCGCGTGGAGGCTTAGACATCAGTAGAAGAAACGCCACTGAGGCAAACAAGAGAGAAATCGAGGGGTGGTGATCATAACACCCAGGAGAGGAGGTGTTATGAGGGGCCCCCAGGAGGCTCCAAGGACCTGAGGGTCACGTTCCCCTTGCCTTAGGGTCCCCAAAGAATTCTTCACACCTGCATCCCCACCAGGGCCGACCACCAAATGTAAGGGACACAGAATCATCCTGAGTACTGGCCCAGTGCACGCAGCAAGCCCTCCACGGGTACTAACTTTAACACTAGTGTGTGACCATGTGGTTGTGGGACCTGAGTGTGACCTGGTGGCTCTTCAGTGCCTCGGTTCTAGGTGTGGTACAGAAGGGACTGCACCGGGCAGTGCCAGCTCCTAGTCCATCAAGGCCACCAGAAATGGAGGTAGAGCTACAGTGACACACACTGGGTTGGGTGACAGATAGAGGGCATGCCTCCCAGAAGCTGATGAGGGGAGGGAGGAGCAGTGCTACCCAAGGGAGTATGATCCTTTGGGGGTTACAGGGGGCAGGAACTCCACACAGAACTCCAGATTGGGAACAGGGTCCCAGCACTTGGGACAGTCAAGCTGGTCAAGTGGTGGCCACCACCACTCTGAGTTGTGTGCCATGGAAGACTGGCTCAGGGAACCTGCAGCTCAGGCCCCTCCTAGACAGAGCTCTCCAGTGGCCAGCAGGATGTTGGTGAGGGGCAACACTGTGCATCCTGCCCCATCCTCCCAGACCAGGCCAGCCCTGCTGTCCATATCACTCAAGAGATAACACCCACTGCAACCACGTGATGACAGAGCTGTTCTATGGGGCCAGGAGAGCAGCAGGCTGTGTGGCCCTCACTGTCACTCCCTTGTCACTCCCTTGTCACTCAGCCCATTCACACTGATCCACATCTCCCAGAGACAGAGTGTCAGTGGATGGCAGATGGCTCCTCCCTGTCCTGCACACCAGACACAACAGTCCATCCTGGGGGCCATACACTCAGAGGCCCAGGATCCCACCAGGCCTCCCAACAACCAATAGCTCCTTACTCTGTGCTCCTGGTGACATCTGCCCCAATACCACAGCTGGCATTGGTCCACCCATGGTGACACTCAGACAATGTTCAGAGAGCATTGAAACTGAGGCTCAGAGTCCATGGCCCTCACCTCTGTCCACTGCTTCCCAGGTCAGGGGCTGTCCAGCCGACCCTGTCCCATGTCACTCACTCCAGTTCCCTGGGTTTTCTGAAGCATCTTCCTAAGTAGCAGCTAGAAAGACCAGTCGGGGTTCCTGCTCAACCTGGGCTGTTCATGGCTCAGGTGCCCGAGTGTCACTCTGCCCAGTTCTGGAAGCCGGACCAAAAGAAATTCACATGCACACACAAATACACAGCCCACACATAGCCCCACATGGATACACAGGAGCACATGTGGACACACATGCACACAGCCCCACATGAACGCAGGAACACGTGCACATACATACATGCACACCCCACGGAGTCACACACAGGAGCACATGTGTGCACACAACCTAAGGCCGCTTTGCATCACAGAGCTCCTCCTTGGTGTTCTGTGACCAGCAGAGTGTCCAGGCCTCAGAGATGTCACCTGGAGACTCACAGCACAGGAAATGGCCTCACACTGGCATGGGCTCACCTTGAGCACAGAAGTTCTACACCACTTTTGTGTCCCACTGAAAAGAAACCAAACTCACAGTCCCAGGTGCTGGCTCGTGCCCAGCCCATAAGCAAGGCCTGGGGGAGGCCAGAAGAGCCCACTGGGGAGGCCAGAAGAGCCCACCACCAGCAGTAGGGTCTGTATCTAGCCCATGCAGGATCTCAGGTGAGAGGACACCCTAGTCCCTACCCCCAAACACACCTGCCCATCTGGAGGTCAGCAGGGAACTTGTGCCCTGGACCTATGGGTCTCATTCCCACTCTCCCTGACCAGGTTTCAGCACAGACTCACCCTCCCCAGCTGGACCAGCCCAGAGAAGCACTCAGTGATGTGGGGGCAAGCAAAGCCTGGGGCAGGTACACCCCCAGAGCCTAGAGAATTTCCCAGCTAGGGTTCAGGGAATGCTCCCAAGAAGACACACTTAGCGGAGGCCTGGCAGTCTGGTACACAGCAGGTGCTCAAACACACCTACACACAGCTTGATAATTGCACAGGAGCAGGATCAGCGACTGACCCACAGTCACTGAACTGTAAACTGTGGACTCTGCAGGTGACAGGCAGTTCTCACCTCCACCTGCCCACTGGAGGAGGCCCACTGAGTCTCTCCTCACACTCAGCCCCACAGCACCTAGGGGCCCAGTTGGGAGGGGTCAGGGCTCCTTGGCTCCCAGTAAGTTCGGATTTGAGTAGGGATGCTCCCCAGGCCTGCTGGCTGTGTCCCAGGGAGGGAGGGAGGACAGATGTGGGGGAGAGAGGGGTGACATGGCATGCCATCTTGCTGAGGTGGCCGCCCACTCCCCATGGCCCTGCCAGGCCTCCAGCCCACCTCACTTGGGGACTCAACCCATTGTCCTACCCGGGTCCCACACCCAGCCCACTGAAATCTGTGCCCCAACACCATGAAGCTCATTATAGACTGAATTCCAGTTTTGTATGCCATCAGTATGCCCCCTCCCCAGTGAGAGCGGGGGTCCTTCTGCTCAGCCCCAGTAGGAATTGGAAGGCCTTCCCAGACCAGCACGATCAAGGCCCTTCTGCACACACCTGCAAGACTGTGGAGGCCTCCTCAGGTCAGGTGAGAGACTCTGACCCTGATCAGAAGACTTGGTTAAGAAGCTGCCTGTCACCCCCTCAGTGCCAGGACTCCACCAGAAGATATTACTTCTGGTCACTTGCCCAGAGAAGTGACCCAAGAACTGTGGAGACATTACTGGGCAACCCTGCACCTTGCACCATGAGCTCCTCTCCCTCCAGCTCTGGGGACAGAGACCAACAGACTTGGGGAGGGGAGGCCAAGTTGGGGTTCCAGGACCCCAAACCAGGTAGCAAAGGTTATGCTAAGTCTAAGAGTGAAGACCTCCCACACCCCACTCAATTAGAGTGGGCCCCAGCACCCCAACCCCCTTACTGCAACTTCTACTCCACGAACCCCGAAGCCTGTTCCATCTGCATGGAACTTCGGACCAGCCCAAGCTAAGCCCAGCTTGCAGCCCTGTCCACAGGGCATGGCTTCCCCAGCCCCTGCCCAGCCCCACTGGACACTTCCACCCTACCTCTGGCTGACAGCTTCTTGGTGTTGATGATCTTGGCTGCGTACTCATGTCCAGTGCAGAGCTTGACACAGCGTCTGACCACAGAGAAAGCCCCCCTGGGGAGGAAGAGGGGACAAGAGACAGACAGACAGGGAAAGAGACAGAGCCAATTAATCTTCCACAAATACCCAGCATCCAGTCGCTGGCCAGGCCTTGGGCAGATGGCCAGCAATCAAAGGCCTGTGCCCCTTCCAGAAGGCTCCTGGACACCCCACTGTGTACCAGCAGGACAGGGGCCAACTCCCAGGACAGCTCCTGCCAGGCAAACATCCTATAGGGGCTGCAGGGAGGAGGATGAGCCACCTTACTCGGAAGGAGGCCCTTGGGACCCCACTCAACTCTTGTGCAACCCGTGGGCTCCCTATCCTTGTAGGTCAGCTAGACTTGAGGGTTCGGCACATCCTTCGGTACTCCATACCAAGTCCGTGACAAACGGCCAGCTCCAGGGGACAGATGTATTGGGATGTTTCAGTGGGACACAAGGACTCAAGAAAGGTTTTAGAGGAAGGGAGAGGGCAAAGCAAGGAGACGGTTCCCCTAGGATACTCCACTGTCCCTGTGTTACAGCAGAGGCCATGGAAGCTTGGACCAGAGGGCTAGAGGTGTCACAAAAGAGAATCAGAGTTTGGGTGTATAGGTTAAAGTGACAGAGTCCATCAAGAGAGGTCCTGAATGCAGCCCACAAAAGTGACCTGCAGAGGACCTCCTGCTGTATCTATGGACTTGGAGCCTAGGAGGGAGGAGGCCATGCTGACCTTGCACCCCTGTGACCTGTCTTTCTACCCCCAAAGTGCCCAGCTCAGAGCATCACCTCTGATGCTTAGGTGACCTGGATGGCCTGAGAGACCTCAAGCGTCCACACCTGTTCTGTAAGGGCCCCAGGTCAGGACAGAGCTTCTGACAGTGAGTGCTAATTTTTTCCCCCTATTTTGGTACAATCCTCTGAGATGAATCTTTGTAAACATGTACTATTTGCTTTCTTTGGAAAAATAAATGATCACACTACATCTAATTGAGTCTTTTCTTACTGACTCAGGTAGTACTCGGGCAGCCAGTGAACTCCAGCTTTGCTTTTTTTTTTTTTTGGCTGGGAGAGGGAGGTTGAGGTAGGGTCTCGCTCTGTAGCCCAGGCTGGTCTCAGACTCATGATCTTCCTGCGTCTGTCTCCCAAGTATGGGGATTGCAGGTGTGATCACCACACCCCAGGTGCCCCTTTGCTTTTTAAAGTCAATCTGTGAACAGGAGTGTCAGAAGGGGCAGGGCGGTGGAGGGTCTATACCTGCTCACTCTGAAGTCTCCTGTTCCACTGGGTATTTTTCACTTATGTGCGTCAGTTACATTTTTAAAATAGTTCTTTTTAAGAAAGATGCAAAGAAAGGATTTTTTTTTTGAGGGGGCATACTGAGGTCTTGTGCTTACTAGGTAGAGGCTCTACCACTTGAGACACACCTCCAGCCAGAAGGGATTGTTTCTGTCTGCACTGGTTTTGATGGACACTGTCCTGGGAAACAGTGGGCGAAGGGAAAGGCCCCAGGCTTTGTGCCTGCTCTGATTTAATCTTTTGTCTGTCATTTCCTGGATTCACAAGGTGGCTTAGCCCTCTGAGTCTCAGTTTCCCCAGCTGTATGATGGACAGAAGGACCTGATGGGCTAATGTGTGGCTGTCTGCCCCACAAATCTCACCACTGCCCACCCTCACTCCCTGCCTGCACTGCAGAGCTGAGAGCTTTAGCACGGCCCTGAGCGGCCATCTGTGCTGCCGAGCCCAGAGGGCACCGTGCCCATAGCCTGGCTCAGCTAGTGTCCCCTGCCAGCTCCAGGCCAAGTCCCAAAGGGAGCGGAGAGTCCGGGCTTTTTTGCACCAGGGACCTGACCTGACTTGAGGGCTGCGCCTCAGTGGTTCCCACAGTTGGACAGCACGTCTTCTCTGACAGCCTGAGAGCTAGGCACTGGGCTGAGACTGGGTTGGGAGCCTATTTCCAGAGCATGGAGGGGATGTCAATACCCACACCCCTCCCATCTGCAGAGCAGGCTCCCAGTGGCTGACCAGACCCGGTGTACCACAACCATCCCCAGCATGAGAGATGGAACAAGAGTCCACAGGAAGGCAGAGGTGGGTGGACTGCCCAGGTGGTCGCTCCACCCTCTCCAAGGCAGACATCCCTTTGTCCTCTGCAGAGGGCTCTGGAGTCACCCCTGCATTGGCAGCCAGAGCTGGAACAGCTATGGATCAGAGCAGGCAAGTAGGGATGAGTGCAGCTGCTGGGGGAAGGAGGCAGGCACAGCTGGGGTCCAGGAGTGATTGCCCACCATATGGCAGGGAAGGTGGCAGGTGCTCAATGGGTACCAGAGGTGAAGAAGACCTTGCTGCTGGCCACAAGCCAGCACAGCGAGGTAGTCCTCCCCAAGGAAGAGAGAACAGGGTCCCCATTCCAGTGACTCATACTCTCAGAGGAGCAATGGCTGTCAGGAGGAGGAGGGCAGAAAGGCTTAGCCCCCAGAGTGGCCACTGTGCCGGGCACCAGCTCCTCAGCCCCACCTCTTCCTCCCTCTGAAGCCAGCCACCTCTAACGAGGACTCCTCCCCTCAATGACCAACCCCCTCCCCCATGAAGGCAACCCCCAGTCCACTGCAGGTACTCAGCCCACAGCTGCAAAACCACTGTGCCCCTCTTCTTCCCCAGTGGCTCTGTCACTCGCCAAATGTCACAGGACACCTCTGGAAATGGCCACAAACACATTTGTGTCAAGTAGGCCACAGCTAGGGGTCCCAATGTCTTGAACATCTCCAAGAACAGGGAAACCAATGTCATCACTATCCTCTTCGGGACTCCCAGTAGCTGTCTACCAGAACTCACAGTCACTGCGGTAACACAGACACAAGCCAACTCCTATGCATCCTTCAAGACCCAAGCCAAACAGCCCAATCTCCTCCAGTTTGCCCCTCACATGGGTCTCATGTCAATTTCTTACTTTGTTAAAGTCATTTTTCTGCCCCTTTCTGTCCACTCCCCACTGTGGCTCTCTATAGGCAGGGCCTGTGTCTGCCCACCCTGGATCCTGGTGTCAGACACAACATCCAACCTGTGATAGGGGTGCCAGAACCAACCAAAAGCAGCACAGGTTGGCTGTAGTCAGTGGAGTCACTGGGCCTTAGCACTTGTCAAGCCCAGCCATTACGGGACGAGAGTGGTCACTAAAAAGCCAAGGAGAGGGAGAGACTGGGCTAGTCTCTAGAGAAAGGGTCAGCAAGACGAGCCCCCCCATAAAAGCCCTACAGAAGGGGCTGCTACCAGGGTTTTCCTGGCATATGCCACCAATCAGACCCAGACTAGACAGGCAGAGCCTGGAGACCCCGTGGATGGGTTTGAAGTAGAGTGGGCGGGATGGGCAAACTGACCACACACCTGCCTGAGGTGGGACCTGCCCAGGGCAGAAGTGGAATCAAGGGCAGGGAGGAGGTCCAGGAGAAAGTGGGCCCCGAGGGGCTCCAGGTCGGCTTTCCTGATGAAGGCTGACTATGAACCCTGCCTGAACGTCAAGATCACCCAGGGGAGGCCGGGAATGGGATGTCTGCCTCAGAACTTAGTGGAAAGTGATTTGAGTAACTTGTTCAGATCACAAGGCCCCTGGGCACCGAGCGTGTGATGGGGCTTTTCAAGTCAAATAAAGCTAATTAACACAAGAACTACCTCTTTGAGCCCTTGCCTCGCAGAAGGTTCAGAACACTGTGTCACTTATGGCAGGCTCATCAGTACCAGGAAAACAGGTCCTGCAAAGGGGAAGAATCAATTCTGTGCAGGAGTGGAGCCCTGGAACCATGCAGCCCCTTTCTGTGAGCTGCCTGGGGTGGGGGACACCAGGGCACGGTCACCTCCCTCACAAGGATGGGAAACACCCCAAGGAGGAGAGGTGCTCGGTCTCTATAGATGATCACCCAGGCCTGGGCTGGATAGTGAGGAAGAGGCAGAGGGTGGACACATTGCAGGACTGCCACCTGCCTCTGTCTTCTCCTCCAATTCCCTCTGCTCCTCCCACTATGTCAGACACCTCGTCCCAACTGCTGTCCCCAGTCCTGCAGACCGGCCCTGAGTTTTCCAAGAAGTCCTGGCTGTGAGTTCCTTCTAAGCCAGCCTCCATCAGGAAACTGACGCCTGTTGCTGGCTACTTGTGGCTCCACTGGCTTCCTCCAAATGTGGCGTTGTGGCCCTCTCTGAGCTCTGCCAGCCCTTGCTGGCCATGCCATGACCCTTTCCTGCTGTCTGCGTTGCTCTTCTACTGCGTTGTTCACACCTTTCCCAGGTGAACTGGAAGCCTGTCACAGACCTCTTTATGCCTGACTTCACTCTGGTGAGGATGGAGTTACCATGACTGCCAGCACTGGTAATGACACCCTGTCTGTCTCTGTGTGCTCTGAGTGTCCATGGCAGACGCTGCTAAGATGCCCTCTCCCGCTGTATCAAAGACTGGGGTTGTCCATCAGTAGAGGGATAATGACTGTCCTTTTGCTCCTCAACCCATTTGGATGAAATGAGGTAATCCAAGTAGGAGCCATGAGGTAGGACATGGCTCCCCTGATGGTGTAGATGAGACCCAGGCCCTCATGACCCCCCTGGAGCTGTGCTCAGAAAAACTGAACCAAAGGACTGGGGGGCGGGTCTCGGCTGCCCCCAGTACTTGGGTTCTGTCTCCATGGTGGAGATTGGGGGAGCAGCAGCTTCTTTCCCTCATCCTCCCTCTGCCTTCCCCTGCCCCGTGTCCATGCTGTCCTGCTTCCTCCCTGCCACTCTGGGCCTTCCCACCTCCATCCGGGGCTTCTGCTGGCCTGTCCAGGGCCCTCACCAGCTTCTCACCAGACCAGCTCACTGTTTGCATAACTAAACCTGCCAAGCGGACTTCAGTCCTCTCCTGCAAACACCTTTGGTTGCTTGACAACGCAGCCAGTACAGCTCAGGGCCAAGTCAGGCGCCCTGTCTGTCCACAGAAAGGCCACAGGCACGTCCACAGGTTCTTTGGAGCTGAAAGATGGCCAGAAGGCTTTAGAAAAACCAAGACTC